TTTCTAAGAACATCCAACTACTTATAATAGATTCAGCATACTATTCTATTCAAAGTATATAAAGAAGCATATAAAAATAAAAATAACATGCAGCATGTATATACATACGTAGCGATGTATAAAAGTCAAATCTCAGTGCAACACTAAGAAATTTTCCGTCTCGAAGTTATCAGATTTCTCAAATTTTTCCTATATAAATAATCGATAAAAAAAGATAGAAATTTCCATCAAGTTATGAAAAATTTAATTAAAAATCCAACGTTAATTTGTTTAAAAGAAGATTGTTTAATTTAAAAAAAAAAAAAAAATGCAAAGACGTAGCGATGTTGAATTTTTCGAAGTTCGCGACGATGAGCGTGATTTTGCAAGTCCTTGAAACTTAAGTCTAACTGGCTTGCTCCCCGACAATCTTATCCGTTCGACGAGATAACATACCGCTAATCTGCCGTGGACTTTACACCGTTAAAGCTAGGCATTCAAACAGCTTCCAGGATCGTACGCGCGAAACTCAAAGTCGAATTTGAAGTGACTCTCGCCGCTCGGTGAGAGATCTTGCGCCATATCGCGAAATGAAATTCGACGATTGCGTAATTCATGGTTGAAACGCTGTCGATTTCGAAAACTTCCTTGGGACCATCATAATTTCAACGAATAACTCGATCAGAATGAACAAAAGTCGTTCCAAACACGTTCATTTCAAACAAAAGAGATGTATAACGATTACCTCTTTTTTTTCCTTTGTCAGTGATATTACTTGATAGTTTCTTAGATAAATATACATCAAAAATAATTTGCGTGAAATTGTTACAGTTTTTTAAATATATATTCCGAATTATTTTAATAATATATCCGATTGTATCGTGGAAAATTATCCAGAACGTTGTACCTATAAATAATGCAGCGCGTCATTGATAAATGGACGGATAAAAACTAGACAATATAGGACGATGGTATTGCCAGTTGGAGAAACATTGAAGTCGCTCGCGGTTAATTCCGCGCGAGAAACGAAAATCTTTTTTATCCAAGGGAATGCTTGTCGGTTTCTCATTTATTTAAATATACCTGACGGAATTGCGCTCGATAATCATAACACAGCGAGCTATATCGTGCGCGTTGTTATTTCTTGGCCCGATACTGTGGTGCGCGACGTCGTTGTCGAGCTGTTTTTCGTAGTTGGCGATCTCGCCGGGAGGCGGCGCGCTGCTCGAGTCCCCTTTCGAAAATAACACACGGCCGGTTGACGTCATGTTGTCATGACTGCCGACTGCCAGCACCAACGTCGTTTCGATGTCGTTTTTCTGGTGCCTGAGCAGCGCAGAAAATTCGTAGACAACGCGCGTAGACTTGATTACATTTATGCTGCTGCTATGTAATTTCGAATTCGAGTTGCGATATTACTTTCACGATGCAATGATTTCTTTTTTTTTTTTTTTTTTATATCAATACTCCAACAAAATGTAACATTACTTATTTTAAGTTTCAGTTTCGCTTTTCTCCTTCTAGCGATGAATCTCACTTCATTATTTACGTTTTTCCTTGAAACAATTAGATTGTATTCGTACATTGGTACGACTCAGTTATTGACCTAACCTCTAAAGAGGCGCAGCGCCTTTGAATATTTTCCATCGCTAAATATATGCTACAATTAATGCCGCACCGAAAATTTGGTAGCATTTGAATTCAAAAACGGTTTCGAATATTCGATCTTGCAGTATTGCCGTTTCGATGTATGCACGCATGCTTAGCTTGCACACATATAGCTTAGGAATGTACGACGCCACACACCGACTGGTTTTATCTACGGAGCTCCGAGTGGTTCGAGCAGGGCTTCGTGTGTGTTCGTTCTTTGGCTGACTAGATAGCTTTGACTCGTGTAGCAAACATTACCTCATCGTCAGGCATAGCCGGATCCACAACAAACCTCCTCTACTTTTAATTCTTCTCTCGTATCTTATAGTATCGTCTACTGTGCTTGCTCGGTAGTTGTAAGAAATGAAATAGAATTGAATTTTTATTCAAGTAAACGTATTTTCATCAAGTTAAAGATATTTCGACTACTTTTTACATGCATACGAAAAAAATTCACTTCTATTATTATTACCTTTTGTTCGTGTTCTTATTTCTACCCTGTTTCTATATCAAGTACAATTTCGTTTGACTTTACCAAGAGTGACGCAAAAGCTGACTTTATTAATCTTCTCATGCGTATGCTGCAGTCAGTCTAGATAGGCTTCACGCAGTGAACATTATCTTATTGCGAGCACAGTCGTCATGAATCTTTTCTAGTTCTGGTACTTCTCTCACGTTTACTCCATTGACCTACATTCCTGACGATAAAACAGAAATTGGAGCGAATTTGTTTATAGAAACTCTGTCATCAAACTTTCTGTGTAATTTGTCGACATAATGACATGTATTTAACGATAATTATTTGAAAGAGTGTTGCTAGAATTTTTCATAAATTTCTTTTGTTTATTCATCTTTAGTAAATTTGTCAATTGATTTATCTCATTTCACGATAAATTGTTTAACAACAGGAGCACTCTACAGCTGTAATATCGAGAAATACACACTGTTTTGAACATACGTTTATTTGACTAATTTCAAAATAATCCTTCTCGCGAGTTGATTACACGGTTCACTGATAGGTGGCACTCGTGTGTGAAAAAATTTAATGTTACTTAATGAAAATGAAAAAACTACCTGGAATATAAAGAAGAAAATGGTAGAGTAGTTGTATGAAGTTCTAATACAAAAAATATTTTCATTTCAGACGCTTTCAATGTGCTTTACAGCCGGAAGCATTTTCATTGCCGCGGTCGAATTGCTTGCATCGTAAAAAAATTTAAAGGCACAATAAGAACAACTTACCCTCAGAAATCAGTGCTACGATTCCATAACTTAGGCGAGACTTAAAAGATTCTTCGGTCGCGCGAACCACAACCCTTAAAGATTCCGCGAGAGGAAAAGAGAGTGGGATGAGCATACTTCTTGACTTTGATTTATGGGCAGTTAAGAGCTGTGCATTTCTGCCACACACAGCTAATCCGTTACGCGGTAACTCCCCTCAGCAACCACCCAGTGGCCGCCTCGATTCAACAAGTGCCCGGACCTTGTTTCGCAAACATTGTTTGTCAGGATGCCCGTTGAATTCTTCGGCGCGTTCACCGAGGTCTTCATCTCAAACATTTCAATTAATACGACTTGTTGCCACTTAAGAAGATACAAAATCTGCTGTAAAATAGACATTCATTATTCTTCTCGTTTTGTGTTCTACTTTTATCGAAACGAACCGTCTACGTTTAAAAAATGAAAATGATATAAGCGTTACACGAATATTGTCGAATAAAAATGATGCGTGTGATACAAACAAGGGTATTGGGAAAGCATTGATCGACAAAACGAGAAGTACTTTCCTGAGAAAATCACGTTTTCACCATGATGGAAGGCGAAATCAAGCTTGCGGATACGATCCGTCATTGTTTTCCCCACGATTCCATGAATCGTCTCTCGAAGAGCTCGGGGACTGGTCGACCCTGTTGGAAGGAGAACCTTCGCGAACGAGTCGTATTCCAAGTAGGCCGCCGCGGCGGATGTACACTGTCGGAGTCGAGATTGAGTCGTTGGCTGCTGTTGCTGCCGCCGCTGTACTAACTAGTTACTTCTAGAAATCTATAAATCGTTTCTAAGGAAATCTGTCATTCTTTTCAAGGGTTCTTGATGAAGTTGTTTTGATAAAAGGTAATTTCATTTCTTGTATCGATAATTACCGTCATAATTAAAAAAGATGCTTTGAAATTCTTCATTTCGTTCCAACTTTTTCTTTTCTTCTTCTTCTTTTTTCTTTCTTTTTTTTTTTTTTTTTGCGTATTATTCGTTGGAAGTTTCGTTAAACAAAAATTGTTTTATTACCACGATTATATCACGAGTGCGCGCGGTATCGTCTCTGATGGCATTGCTCGTTTCCTCGGAACTTTTTTTCCCCTCCTTTTCTCACCGTTGTTCTTGCCAGTTACATACGCGGCCTTCGTATTGGCCGAACAACATAACGCATCGATTATCTGTTAAATGACGTTCACGCCACCGTGCATCCCCTACTCATAGGTCAGCTCTTCGCGACTTCTATTCCCTCCATTTCTGTTTTTGCTTTTTTTTTCTTCTGAAATCAAACGTCATGTGCAGGCCACGTGGATCCGACAAAATGACGAACGTGTCGCTGGTGACATCCCACGGCAATTCGCTCAACTAACTGCACTGTCAGTGGTTCTCAATGAAATTCACACAATTTTTTACCTTTCAAAGTTTTTCTCGTCGCTCTCTTTGCCCCCTTTGGTAACTCGCTTCGGCAAGCAAAAGCGAGAGAGGGAGAAACGATTATTTACTTACTTTCACTCGCACAGTTGTTGAATTGTATGTGCATGGATGTAAATCATGTGCTTTATCATTTGTTTGGGGCTTTGTTGCTTGGGTCGATCACGTTTTTCGTAGTTGATATCACGGTGGATCACAAGACGTTATTTGTATATGTATAAACTTTATATTCTATTTTAATATAAAGCAAAGTGAATTTAATTTTTATATTATAATGGAATAATAGTATATCACGTATGAGACTAGATTGAGTCCTAAGTTATGTAGGAAAATTACCAATCAGCCTCGAGATTGGAAATAATATTATTTTTATATACTCGATATATTATTATATATCTTCGGACGGATATGAGACGAAAGAAAAGGAAAACAAAGACGGCGGGAAAGATAAAATGAAGAGGAGTATTTCACAAGCGGCCCGCATGCTTGCTGATTGAACCCATGAGTAACAACACTCCTCTGTCCCCTTCGCCATTTGTGCCCCCTTCTCTTCCATACCTACTCGATCATCCATTCCAACGATGACTTCTTCCAGGCTAGGGTAGGGAGACGCCTGACGTCATTCTCCAACGTCTGTCAGCGAGCCGACCCTCTGAGTCATGCCGTTTTGCCTACTCTCTTGCTTGTAGCAGAGTATCGAGACTTGGCAAGGTCTTTCGTGATCATGTCCCTAAATCGTCCCTAGTTTCTCTCGTTCAAATTTTTCCCCATCTGTAAAAATTTTAAAATTCTATTTCTACTTTTCATTTAATAATAAGAACTAACTCGTCTAATTACAATTTCAAGTTCATACTTCTTCTAATAAAAATATGCCACCATATTCATTGCAATTTTATTAACAGTAATTTAATTTTTCAAAATATTAAAATTGGTGCATCAGAAAGAAGTATGAAATTAATTATATATGCTTTTATGTATGTAGAAGCGAATCCATACATAGAGAGGCTATAATGTCGTGTAATTGATTTATTTTTAGAGTTGTGCAATGATGGGTCTGCAGGCCACGGCAGGAAAACGTAAACTGGAGGGAGGTGTGGGCTGCATGGAATTCGACATGGATATGGGCGAAAGCCCATCGAAGTTGGGCCGGGTGGAGGGTAGCTGGTGGGCGATGGAGGATAGTTACACGCCCCCGTTGAGCCAAACGCCGGCTTCTTATTACGACATGGAAGTGAGTCCGCCCTGCCTACAAACAAATCCTTGTCAGCCGACGTCGACAAGCCCCCAGCAACAGCAGCAGCAACAGCAACAACAACAACAACAACATCAAACGGCGCAGCAGCAGCAGCAACAGCAACAACAGCAGCAGCAGCAGCAGCAGCAACAGCAGCAACAACAACAACAGCAGCAGCAGCAGCAACAGCAGTCGTCGACGCCGACGTCAGCACCTCCACCGTCTACGGTGGCGCATCTGCACCATCATCCGCAGCACTACTACCATCATCAGCGCGGACCTAGCAGTCCGGTCGGTAACAACGGTTACAGTCAACTGTCCAGGCCTCAGCCACAGTGGGGGGCACCTCATCATTACGAGCCACCAACGATACGGAGAGAAGAAAATGGAAAGAGTTACTTGGAGCTTGGTTCCAGTTACCGAGCGAACGAGAGGTGCTGCGAGGGTTCGAGGTCAAGCTGGTGTCGGCGTGGTAGAGCGTGTTACAGACAAAGGCGGCTGGCGGTTTTAAATATCTCGATGTGCAAACTGGCGAGGTATCGCCAATTTCCGGATCCGAGCCTTCATCGATCGGTCCTCATCTGCAATACGCTGAGGCATCTGGAACGCGAGATGGAGAGGGACAGAAGTCCGCCGCCCATGGAGCCGGTTATACCGGCACCGATCGCTCAGCTTCAACCTCCCGAGCAGGGCAGGTTAACACCGTTCCCAATGCCGCCAACGTCTTCGAACGAGACAGATGCCGATTCCGGGATCGGCGATAGCGACGACAGTCGTTCGATTAATTGGGGCAGCGTGCTGTCTCTCTCGAGTCAGTCGCCGTTGGATCCATTGAATAACAACGAGCTGCTGGACGTCGATATCGGTCCGGATCTAGACTTAGACTTCATGCCTGGATGGAAGTTGACGCCCCTCTCTGCCGATGATATCCTTAGGAGTACGACGGCGCAAGAGCAACAACATCAGCAGAATCAGCAGCATCATCACCAACAGCAGCAGCAACAGCATCTGGTGCCGACTAGCGGCAGTTGCGCCAGCAGTAACGTGGGTAGTGCCTGCGTCAGTACCGGCAGTAACAGTAGTACGCACGAATCGTTGATGTGCGTTGGATCATAGCCCCCGATTTTGACATCGTTGAGTCATCTCATCGATTTTTACCCGTTGATGCCGCAGAACAAGTAAATAGGGTGTCCGGCAACAAACTCGCAAAAGAACCATAAAACCCGAGACGCAGAGACGATGCGATGGTTGCCTGCCGCCCGCCTTTCGAATATGTGCGACGCCTGGTCGGCGACACTTCAGGAGGTCTTCGTTTTCTTATTTATTACCGTTCGTGTCAATTATGCACCGATCGATTATCTCGGTTACGTTCGACTTCGTACTACACTGGTAGTCAGCATGGATGGTCTACTCTTTGATAGAGAGAGAGAGAGAGAGAGAGAGAGAGAGAGAAAGAGAGAGAATATGCGTCTCGTTACCCTATGTTCGCAGGTGCAGGCAGCGCGGAATTCAGAAATGATCCATCGGAAATGCTTCATATTCGAAGTAAACCAAGAGGTGATTACAATTTATAAACCAACGGGTACCTAACCTCGTGTTGTTTTGATTATCAAATATGATTCAAGATATGTTATATACTTTTATGTATTATTTTAGTTGGAATAATTAACATTAGACTGGTGAATTACCAGTCTGATAGAAATTACTAGCGGAGAGTCATATTTTTTATCTATGTGCACATTAGGGAGATTCTAATTTTCGTTTGAGCCGAGCAACGCGAGATCAGGTTCTCCCTCCGACTAAACAGCAACCACCTCGAAACGAGCATGGCTATACTATATCGAAACGATCTGTTTTTGCAGCTGCACCTGCGAATTCAGCGGCGCACGATATGAGTTCCCGAGTCGCTCGAAATATCGTCAACCGGCACCTCAGACAAAAAGATAGAGATAGAGTGGGAGTGACAGAGACTGAGAGAGAGAGAGAGAGAGAGAGAGAGAGAGAGAACGAAAGAGAAAGAAAGAGAGAAATAAAGAGAGTGAAAGAGCGACAGGGAAAAAAAAAGAGAAAATGAAAAAGTCTCAGAGCTTTCAATGTTCACGCCCCCGGGCCGGCGATAGGATAGGAAAAGTATCCAGGATCAGTGTAGCCCTCACTCCGACTCTTTAAAACAACAACATACGACGGTACAAAACTCCGACATAGACTTATTTATCCACATAGAATAATCTAATTGATACATTCGATGGAAAAGTGTCCTTTCCTTCCTTCTATAATTAATTTTCTTTTTTTTCTTTTCTTTTTGGTAACAATTGGCACACAGCATGGTGATATTCTTACGTACAGTGAGCAACGAAGGTATTCGAATTTCAATGTGAAAACAATTTCCATGTTAGAGTCCCATACGAGAGAAACCATACATTAGCAAGAAGAGAACAATTACTTCGTTTAAAATTTGCCAAAGAGTATATAAATAAGGACATAAATTTTTGGAATACTGTTATTCTTTCAGCTGAAAATAAATTCAATTTATTTGGGTCCGATGGTAAGAGAATAGTACGGAGGCAGCCAAGTAATTGGATTCAAAAAATTTGAAGTCTACAGTGAAACATGGTGGAGGCTCCGTAATGGGGCTGCATGTCCGCTAATGGGCCTGGAAATCTCGTATTCACCGATGGAATCATGGACAAAACTAAATATTTGAATATTCTAAAAGAAAATTTAATTAATAGTGCATTAATAAAATTAAATGCGTTAAGAAATTTTCCAGCAGGACCGAGATCGTAAACATACGGCCAAAATAGTACAATACTTTCGTTGCTCACTGTATGTATATCGCTCGCCTAGCCGGCTGACGTTGAGAACTCTACGGCGATGTCCGGCGTCGTTCGACGACAGCCAATCGAAACGGGAGTGTCCATCATCATCGATCGATGTTTTCTCTTTGGACTAGAAAGACTATTCAGGCGACGATTAATTAATGCCATACACTCTGACTACACATTAACGATACACTTACACACATAAGACATAACCGCCGTGGCCTATATCGTACGCTGATACACGTACACGCATACACACATACACATACACTCATACATAATGCTATATACGTACATCAGGAGAAAAATACAGGTTCGTACACAGAAAAGTCGATATGGTGCTAGGACGATCACACCCTGGTGCTTAATTCTGTAACACACAGAGCCATGTGCATAAATTCGCACGGATCGCCTGCAGTCTTCGTTAAGAGGTCTAGATACGTCCTGACGTCGTGAACAGGACACATCGCGATTTAACGTGTTTCCATCTGTAGTGTTCTCCGACGAATTTTGTTGCTGGACATCACTTTGGGCCTCTCACCAAAGGCCAAATTGACGATCGAAGGCACACAGGGATCACGGATGGAAATACGTTGCATAGAACGCGCAACTGTGTTCTGGCGCATGATGCTAACAAATGTACCTGCATTTTAGAGATCGGGATTAATATTCGGTCCCTTCGTGTCGTCGCGCGGAGGCCACTGCGCGCCACTGATCTCTCGTTAATAATTATGTACTATAATACTATTGTAAAATAGAGAGTGGCCGACGAGCAGAGAACGAAGGTGACCAACAATTCACTTGGGGTGTGGAACGGAGAGATTATTAAGGGAGGAGAGGAGGATGAAGAGGAGGATGACGAAGGGGAAGGGGAGAGAATAGAGAATGAAAATAAAGTAAAATAAAACTCGACGATACGCACTTCGCGAAGAGGAACGGCGATCCGCGCGCGATCTCGTCCTCAACGTCCACTAACTGAAACCCAAACAGAGCAGCTATACTTAAATCGAAGTTAAGCGTTGTAAAGCGAGTTTAATGAACGATAAAGCGAATATAAAAAGAAAAAAAAAATTAATAATTTATAAATCGACTGATTATCTTGTGCGATAGAGAACGATGATGGGAAATTATGAGAAAAGAAAGAAAGCTCTAACCGGCAACGCTTCGCGACACGAGTTCATTTAAACTGTAATTAATTGAATGTTAAGCCAACATGATATATACACGTACATGACACACACACGCACACACACACACACGCACGCACGCACGCATTACAGAGAAACCATACGTACTTGCGTGACATTTGTATACAAATGGACACGTTTGTACATGAGATACGTTTTAGATACTTCGATGTATATAGATACACACTACGTGCTAAGTCTAATAATTGTTAACACGAACCGTCAACTCTCGGCAGTTTTTTTTTTTTTTTTTGTTTTTTCTGTTCCTATGTCTAAAATCTTGTATCTGTTTTGTTCTCAATCACTTGCAATCCATCCATCTTAACAACAAATTCGAATTTCCCGCGTTTTCATGCGTTCGATCGTCATCTCTCCTCTCGTACACGATTCAACGCTGTTGTCATACGTTGGCCTCCACCACGCTAATCGCCTCACCTCTATTTCATTCATTCGTTTCTCTCTCATTTCATACAAAAAAAAAAAAAAAGAAAGAGAAGAAGGGGAAAAAACAACGAGCAATATTACATTAACAATGCGGAAAATTTTAGGGGAAAAACGTACACGTGCATGAATCTCGAGCGATTTGTGAGCTTTCTTAAATACGTTAATGAGGGAACACCATTTTCTGATTATCGTATTTGTGACTGTGTTTGATCAAGCGTTTTGTACATTACTTAATAATAATTTACACATGTTACTACGATTGCAATGTAATGTAAATATTATTAGGAAATAAACATCGTTAAGCAATTGACATATGGATCAACAGAAATTTCTTACAAACGAATGAAAATTGCAACGTCTGATTTAAGATAACACTTTGAGATCAAACATCAATCATAAGGTATAAAAACAAAAAAGTAAAGAAGATTGTTCTCGTCATCTCGTTGTATTTCTTGGAACGAACGAATCGTTCGAGTTCATAATTCTGTCTACGATCGCGCGTAAAGTGTTAAAAATATACGAAAATGACATTTGCACATAATACATAGCAGACAGACGCACACACACACATACATACATACATATATACACACACGTACGAACGAACATTGCGTGAAATTATGTATGCGCGCTCGATGTGAATGTACGGAGGATTTTTTTTTTAGGGAAAAAAGGTCGATGTTGTTTTCTTGCATGGTGTACCAATTGGAACCACAGCGTTAACGTTAAAGCACGTGTGGCAGCACGAGATACAGCAACGTATGCTAGATTGTTCAAAAATTCGTCCATCGCGTTGATGCATCTCTCAAAGTACAATGCCTTTTCGTGTTTTGCGATTCGCAACGCTACCTCATCGGCTTGGTGTTCCGCGACGGACGACTTGTGATTTCTCTTTCTATACACGCTGTTGCTCGCTAATGAAACAGAAATGTGAAAATATCGGCGCTGATCGATGTATCGAATTTTATTAAAATCCAAAAAAAAAAAAAAAACTGCGAACTAATGTGTATATATATATTATATATATATACTCGTGTCTCCTGGTCGCAACATTTTGTACCGATCGATCGATTTGATCGTCCAACGGAATACCAAGCACTGCGTTTTGAAACAGTTAAACGCGACACAGTAGACTCGCTTCTCGGGGATTGAAAAAAAAAAAGAAAAAAAAAAAGCGGAACTCGGGAGGTGACAAATAATTTCGTATTTTTTACACGGAGATATGTAGCTTCGCTGCGTTCAAACGCAATATTGATACACGATCACATACATACGCGATACATGTGCACACACACACACACACACACACACACACATACACGCGACAAAGACACGGTACCGAAGGAGTGCCTGCGAGTTCGGTGGTTCGAGAACGGCGAGTGTGATAAAGTGGAGGAAGAGGATGCGAGTAAAAAAAGAAAAAAAAAAAAAAAAAGAAAGCAAAACTGTAACCGTGCGAGAGAACGACGATATATACAAGTTCTAAATACACACGTGTGTTTCGACGATTGCGCCGGCGTACGTGTTAATGTTAAAACGTTAAAAAAAAAAAAAAGAAAATGACAAAAAAAAAAGAAACGAAACAGATGATATAAATGGGTGTGCAACGGACACTTTCTTTCGGGAAGTTTTAGAACAAAATCACGGAGAAGCGGAAACATAGAAGAAAAGGAGGACGAAAAAATGAAACACTGTATATAGTATAAATAGTAACTACGCGCAGAAGTACGTTTAAGCGGAAATAAAAGATGATATAATAGATATAATGTGAAGAAAAATATACACATATAAGATATTATTATATATTATATATAAACAAGAAGTATATATATAAGATTATTATATATATTTACCGTGGTAAGTGATATACAAAAGCGGTGACGGGGACTCGCGCAATCTCGTTGTCGTGTTCGGATGATGTTGCTGTGATTCGCGGTTGGCCCACGCAGTGATTTTTCCTATTCAGATTCATTTCAACTTGTGGAACGCATATCCTGATGGATGTCTCGTTGATTTTTCTAATTACACGCATAAACACACACGTACACGTACATATATACAGACACTGTACTCCAAGCTGATCACTCTGTTGTTGCCATCCGTTTTTTCCATATACACATGCTCTTCCAGGTTGTTTTTACGTGTACGTGCGTCCATGTAGATAATTGTATGATCGCGAATTCTTTCATCTTTTTCTTCAGCTACGTTTCCTTTTTTTTTTTTTTTTCTTTTCTCGAAATTCTTCTTCAGAACGCCCTTCGCGTCAAGAGTGATCAGTTGCCCGCAAAGTGTGTAAAGATAGCCGACGGACAACAAGGTGGAGGCGACAGCCCCAGCAAGCTTGCATTTCTTAACTCCTTGCAGGACAGAGAAGTTTGATCGTATTCTTCATCAAATTATTTATGTACACGATGGGTTGGTTGGGATATTTGTATCGAGCTTTTAGTGCGTTCGTTCGTTGTTAGTATGAAAGGAAAGAAAAAAAGAAGAAGAAGAAGAAGAAGAAGAAGAATGCATACGTTTTTGTTATTATTATTATTATTATTATTATAATTATAATTATAATTATTATTATTATTATTATTATTAATATTAATAAATATAAATTCTATATAGTCCTATGAAGAGTTAATCGAATTGAGCTGCCGTGAAGATGTACGATTAAGTTCCTATTACCACGATATCTATCCGAGAATTAGTTAGAGCAATCTATCCCAGCCGAACGTATGAACGCAATGCAGTGACAGCCAGCGCGTGTGGGCCGCCATGCGAACGCAACGTCCTCGAATCCTCCTTTTTCTTTTTTTTTTTTCTTTTTTTTTTTTGCACGATTACAATTATTCTTATTACTATTCGCGATAATACTGTGAATATTATTAATACTGTTAATAATCGATCGATTTGTACCGAACGCCTTAATTGAAAAACGGTATCTTTCTTTCTTTCGGGCGAAAGCACGAAGGAACGAGGCTGCACGATGTCGCGGCCAGCCAGTGTGCGAAGGCAAAAGAATAGTTGACGAAAAAAAGAAAGAAAAAAAAGAAAACGCGATAGAGAAAAAAGAAATCGAGACGAGGACGTCAAGCTAGAGTTAAAACGTAACGGATCTCCGAGACTTTACGAGAGTCCCGCCGTGACCGCAAATCTAGGACACGAGGAAGAAAGAACACACGACACTGTACATTGTAAATAGTAGCGCGGAGAAGAGACGGTTACAGAGAAAGACAGAGTTAATTAATTAAAAGATAAAAAAAAAAAGGGATGAGATGAAAGAACGAGAGAGAAAGAGGAAACGAGAGGGAGAGAGAGAGAGAGAGAGAGAGAATGAGAACGAGAGAGCGAGCGACGAGAGAAAGATGAAGAAAAAGATGAAGTTGCATCGAAATCGCGCCGGGCGCGTGAAGCGAATGCACGTTCCCGAGGGATGTTCGATTCTAAGGCGAAAATACAAATAGGTGATTGAAAAATAGTGAAAATGCAAAACGGACCGTTTTCTGATGTTAGAAGTGATTTCATCTTAAAAAAAAAAACGAAAAAAAAAAGAAACTCCTTCGTCGTCGTGTCGACAGTAGATTGCTCGAAATTAACTAGCCCCGTTAGTCGCCTGAAATCGATGTATCCCGATGGGGTATATTCGCCATACGAGCCGCGTGTGCGGCCCATTTTAATAGAGCTAGGACAAATTTTAAGATGCACGGTTGTATCTACGGGGACGTGTGCCGATCACTCGACTGTAATTCGTATCGTGTCACAAGACTGCGTCTAAAATAATAAAAAAAAAAGCGAACGAGAAAAAGATAAGAAAAAAGTGTGCTGACGAAAAATAAACAGAAACGAACAAAAGAAAATGTACGTTCTAAAGGGATACAAAAAGGGAACAGAGAAAGTGCGGCAATAGTCGCGCGTTCTATGCGGCAAATGCAAAACGGAGCGCGAAAGCAAGATAGAAAAGGGATTTTCAATTTTTAACGTGCATTCGCGATTCGCCATACTGCACGCGTACTTGCTAATCAGCGTGAAAAAGTAAAAGATAAAATTATCGAAAGAGAAAAGAAGCATGAATTTACTCTAGTCCTAAGTGGTCCACGTGTGCACAGTACGAAAAGTTACACGATTCTCGAGTGGTTGGATAACGTCGTTTCTTCTTTTTTTTTCTTCATTCGTTTCTCATATTTCGTTTCAAAAAGTTGTGTCGTTGTATCGCATACCGTTTTACCAAAATATCGAACAGCAAAGAATCAGCAGCAACAGAAAAAGAATGCAAGCAACAAATGCAGCGTAAAAAACAATTAACCTGAAGAAGAAAAGTAAAAGGATAACGCACGATATGGACAACAACAACAAAAACTATCAAAAACAATAAAGAGTATTATTCTATATATAATAATGGTGTTGATATTTTACAATCCTTTGATTTCCTACCTTTCAAATTTCATATTGCGACTATTTCTTTGCGTTTTAGTGACTCGCACGGTAAAGTGAAAAAACATGTTCATAGGATCCTTTATGTTGTATTTATTACGCAAACAATGAGAAAATATTACATGTTATTCTGCAGAAAAAATTCAGTAAAAAGAGTACAACTAAACTGAGAACCGTATAATGTAGTATCTTCAAATTTCGATGTTTCCGCAATGCGGCAGGAGACGGTTCTAATGGTTCCTTCAATAATTTTCGTAAACCTTTGTTATTTACTTGAAAAGTTTGATACCAGTCTAACGCTGATAAATCAAAGAAAAACTCTTTCATATCGGCTGAATTAGCAAGACTTACAACTCTTTTTAAATTATCTGTTTTTAAAATCCGTTCAGGAATCAGATATCGTTTTAGCGTCGCGTAATTTAAAATTGCAGTCTTTAGTATAGTTGTAAATCTGTGTACAAAACAAATATACCGGTAAGTATACAAATGGTATTATTTCAAAATTATCTTAAAAAGTCAAGTTTTCAGTAAAGTTTTCTTAAAGTTAGAATCTTACATTGGTTTCTTCCACCGAAGCAAGAAGATTAGGTCTGCCAGTATACCAGGAATAATACTAAATAGTGTAAATAATATAGCAAAAGCGTAAAAATTATTAATCTGCAACACGAACGGATACCAAATCATTTCAGTCGATGGATATGTGTGTGATATTTCCATTCCATACTCCTGCAGTTTTTTATTGCTAAGACGATTCCAATCACTAGATCCATAATTATATACTTGTGGTTCGTGCGTTTCTCTTTAGAAAAGAAAAATGAATAATAGAATAGAATAGTAGAATAATTCATTATTACCTTACCTACTCCTATACAGAAATAGTATATAGAAATTAAAAAAAATGCAATTTTTACCAATCTTTTCACAAAAGGTTTTAATAAAATAATATAATACCTATTTACAACATAGTCCCATATCGATGCCAAGAGACTATTAACTACCATGTCAACCGGAATTAGATCCATACTGCATTCATTCTCATCACACTGTAACACATGCATGAAACCTCCTCTTAGTGCTCTAAATAATACTACAGGGCCATTTCTGTTTCCGATCCATCCTGGAATTGGTTCGTTGTACGCTCCTATAACTATTGAATATATATGTACATAATTGTAATGTGTAAGCATTACTACGCATTGCGTTAATATTACTATAAAGAATGAAATTATTGCGATTTAATTTGTCTGCAATTTTGTTCTTAGGAGATAAGTTTCCAATACTTTTGTGGTGTAAATGTCATAAAATATCATGTAAATATCATAATTGTCATACTGATAGAAGGCCTGTACACTATACAGGGAAGAGACCTCTTTCTGCCGTAAGCTTCGACTAGACCTTCAGCGGTGGCTTTGCTAAAAGGGTACAAATTCAGCCAGTCTCCTGTGATGTCGCGTATCGCTTCATCTGTAATTCCAGCTTCATTCTCTTCATCGGCTTTTATCACGTCTTCAACGAGCTTCAGATCAGCCGGAGGTGGGTAAAACTTTTCTTCCTTTATTATTTTGTAAGGATGACTATACGCTGTTGAGACATACGTGAATATCTCTAAATGAGGACATTCCGTTGCAAGTTGCAGTAATTTGTCTGTGCCAATCACGTTTGTTCGCAAAACATGGGACGGTTTTATATCATATCGCACGATCGATGCATTGTGAATTATTATATTCACGTTCTCTATCAGATATCGACGATTTTCGGGTGAGAGACTCAAGTCGTCTTTACTTAGATCACCGTAAATCAGCACGATCTTTTCCATATAATTTGGATTTGATTCACGTAATCTGTCAAATACCTGATAATAATACAGAGCTATAAATTATGTTGTAATAAAAAATATAATTATAGTGTAAATATTTTAACCCTTTCACTGCTATAGACGAGATCTCGCCGTAACTATGTCTCGGTTGTGCAAAACCAGCTGGCGAGATATTGCATCGTAGAAGCGAAATATTTCGTCGTTGGCATTGCACGAGCGACGTAAGTTGTGACGAGATACCTCGTTTACGGTATTGAAAGGGTTAATAAAGCAATAATGGAATTTTTACTGCGTATTTAATATCATAATTATAATTTAGTATCGCATCGCCCTTTAGTATCTTCTTTAGACTTACCTCATTTTCAAAGAGTTTTTTCAGTCGGTCTTCAATTGTCATGTTTACTTTCTCTCGGACCAGAATATAAAGTTTACCAATTTCAGTACATGTATGCAAAATTTTTTCCAAAATAAGAGTGCCAAGGTAACCAGTACATCCAGTAAGTAATATATGCTTGCCAGCGTAAAACTTCTGTATCTGACTTTTACAATTACTCTTGTTTTTAGTCAATCGTTGGGCTTCTTGTACTTCACTCATTTTGATACTTTCTCCTTCTTCGGTTTTATTTTATTCAACTCGTTGAATGTTGTTTAAATTGTATAATAATAATCACTAGTAAACACATAAACTAGTTGAGTCACTTTGAAATACGATGGAGATGTTCCATTAGGTATTTCTGTCGAGAAAGTAAGTGAAAATGCATTTTTTCCGAATCTTTTATACATTAATATTTACAATTATAATGATACAGAATTATAATAACACTGCGATATTTTGAAACTTCAACAGTTAAAACTATTCTTTAAAATTCATTCTGAGAAATCGAATTGCGTATAATGCATAAAATGTGCATATCATAAATTTGAAATCTCGGTTACGTAAGTAATTTACGTTTATATAGAACCAAATTTTAATTAAACATTTTCGAGAAAATAATAGCGTGTAACGTGATTTAGATATATATTAGTTTCTGTTAGAAGTATATTAATTTATCCTACTGAATTGTCATATAATAAATCTAATAGATATGATTCATAATTAATATAATTAAAAAATACAAGATTATATTTAAAATGAATTAATATTATAGAATACTTATTTTATTGAATAAAACTACTTCATGTAATATTTATCAGAATATTAATTTTCCATGTTTGTTATTTTTTCCCCTTATTTTATTGAACTATGAACTATGAACTATGAGCTATGAGCTACGAAGTATGAATTGTAATAGTAGTGTAATAAGCATTTTTCAGTATCATCATACTGAATAATTTACTAGTTATGACAGTTAATTCCAATATTTATTTCAATTCTCAATCAAGGATTGCAGAGTACGTTAAGAAGAATATTATTTATAGTATAGAATATTTATATAGTTCTTAACAATTACATTATTGAAGAATAATTAAAATTATTATTACATCGTTTAAGATTAACTTTATTCTCGTTTTTTAAAACAAAAACAGATTACGAAGACAATTTTTTTTATTAATAATTAAATCATATAATATAATATATAGATATATTATTTTAGTACCTAGTATTTATTGTATAAATCACTCAAATTCAGAGCATACTATATCTACATTATAAGATTCCATTTCTTGTTGTACCTCTACATATTCCTGAATTATTGGATTTTCTTCATGTAAACCAATATGTTTCAGGATATCTTTCTTCTTTATGAACACTTCACCGCATTGTTCGCAAGACAACGATTTGGCATCGTGCGTTTTAGTGTGCTTGATCATGTCATTTTTTTGAGAAAATGTTCTATCGCATATTTGGCAGGCAAATGGTTTCTCTCCAGTGTGAACTCTCTCATGTACATTTAACGCTCCTTTTCGTGTGAAACTTTTATTACAGTATATACATTTATAAGGCTTAATATCAGAATGAATTTTCATGTGTTGATTAAGATTGCTTGAACGTCTGTATTCCATTTTACATATTTTGCAGACGTAAGGACGTTCTCCGGTATGTATTCTTTCGTGTATAAGACGCGACTCTTTGGAAACAAACGATTCTTTGCAATACTGACATATGTACGGTCTCTCCGAAGAATGAATAGACTTTTTATGATATATTAAAGAATTTTTACTCGCTAATTTCTTCCCACAAATATTGCAGTCGATACTTATTCTGTCTTTTTTATGTATACGTTCATGATTCAATAATACCGCTCGAGTTGAAAATATTCGACTACAACTCTTACATTTCCATATAGTTTTATCGATGCACCGTTTGCTTATATTTTCTATGTCTTGTTCTGTATGAGTTTTTCTATGTGATTTCAACTCACTCATTGATTTACATTTATGTTTACATATCTAGAAGTAAAATGCTTCTACGTATTTTCACAATTTAATGTTTCTATGTATTAACGATTTTGGTACAATTTTAATCTATTTGTGCGATGATACAATGATATACTTACACTACATGTATACATATCGTTTCTGTTATTATGACGTTTAAGATGTGTATTCATATTTCCCTTACGATTGAAAGCTGACCCACAAATTGGACAAATATGTTTATTTAAACCATGGGAAAGTTTATGCTGTCTTAATTGTATCCTTTTGTAAAAAGCTTTGCCGCATTTTTCACAAGAGTAAGGTTTATTTCCATTATGCTGGTTCATATGTTCTCCCAAATGAAATCTGAATTACATATTTAACATTGAATAATACAAATTTGATGATGTATTTTAGGATAGATAGTTGAAAGTTCTAGAATGCTACCTAGATCTAAATGCATTTCCACAAATATCACAAATGTGTCGTTTCTTTTTTGAATCATCTAAATGAGTTCTTTTGTGACCTCTTAAATTATTGGAATGTTTAAAGCTTTTTCCACATAAATCGCATAGATAAGGTTTATCTAGTCTGTGAGTGGCTTCATGTATGTCTAAACTAACCCATTTTTCATAGCTTTTGTCACACATAATACATTTAAATAAAAGTTGGCCCTCATGACATTCCATAATATGATTTAATAATTCCTTTTTAGTATTAGAAATCAAATTACAGTGGCCACATTTTCTACTAGTTTCTATCAATAGATTATTAATATTATAGGAATTTCTATAGTTGTTGCACTGTTCCGTCTTTGCGATTGCTTTATGCTCAGTAATTTGATAATCTTCTTGAAGAAATTTGCAGTGTGAGATATGTTCAATGAAATGTTTTTCAGTTTCAAAATATTTATGACAAATATTACAAGTTTTCGTTACAAATTGGAAGTTCATTATTTTTATGTTATCGGATTCTTTATTATTCATATTATTATTGGTTCCTTTTTCTTTCTGTATCACTATTTCTTCTTCAACACACAATATTTTGTGATTTTCAAATATTTCTTGCGTTTTAAATACATTCTTGCAATAAATGCATTGAATTGCATTATTTAATGTTTCATTTTCTGAATAATCTTTTGTTACTCTAGTTGTACATTCATTTTCTTTAATTTCTTTATTGTGTGATTCAATAAAACAATTTAAATCAGATTGCACTTCTTTTGTTATATTTTTAAAATTATCTTTTTGCATATTAGTATTTTGCAAGTCATTAAATTTTTCAGTGACTTCGTGATTCATAGAAATTTCATTAATTTTGTTAGAAGATAACTTTACAGATGTAACTTCAGTTGTTTCATTCATATACATTTCTTCAGTTATTTCTACGGAACACTTCTTTACTATTGCATTGTACCTATGATCATAATTTAGCTGTAAAACAATATACAAATCTCTTATTATTATGATACATATTACTTAAAGATTAAATTAATCGATAGCTACTTACTTCTACATTAATGTTCAAAAATTTTTTTAACTTCATGTCTGTTTTTAACGATGTTACAGCTAATGAATGTGCAATTTCTAATTTATTATAACAGCTCATACACAATTTTTGTGGCATTATATCTTCCATATTAACTGTAATTGGTAGATGTAAATTTATTTTTTCTCTCAGCCTTAAGTCTATCCCTTTCAATGAAAATATTTCTATACCATCCAAACATGATTCCTGGCATATTCTACATATATTTGAAAATTTAATATTCATATCATGATACTGATCTATTTCGACATCCATATCACAATATGATAACACATTATCAGCTATTTGTGTTTGTTCATTTCTATCAAAGACATTCCTCGAATCTTTTTCAATATTAGTATGAGATTCAAATAAAGTTGGAATAGCATGTTGGTCTATTATCACAGGATTTGTTTTATTTATGAAATAGCGATCCTCTATATGATGAGAACATATATAATAGTTTAAATACAATTCTTCATTAGACTTCATTAAAAGGTCTGTTCTATCACACTGGTGTGCCCATATTTTTGATCTGTAGAGAAATAATTTATACAAGTTATAAAAAAATTTGATTGTTGACAAAAGAAAAATGATTAATGAAAAATATTATTCTGTGTAATAATTTAAAGAAAATTTTTTGCTTATAGATTATAAATATGCATGTAACCAGTATTATAAAAAGAAGAATTTAATTCATAACTTGACAAAACTTACGTATCATTGTTTGGGAAATGAATAAATTTGATATTGGTAGAGTCTTCATTGTCTAAAGAGTATTTACATATTTTTGCAGCACAAACTATCTTCATAACTTTAATGTATAGATAACAAATTTCATTTACTTTTTTGTCACTTTCTAAATTTAATTCAATAACTAATTTACTATATCTAATCTATCAATGAAATGTTGTTTGTATCTATGCTGATATTTAATGCATTGGAATTTGTGAAGTACAAATCTAGTAAGTAGCGTTATATAAACATTTTCGATTTTTATTAATTCCATCTTCCAGTCACATAATTTCTTTTGTTTACGAATATTAAAATATTAGAACTATTAAAATATAGTACGCTAATACATTTTGTGTATATATATCTTATCATTTTAGTATCATTTCCAATGTTACCGATTTAAAAAATAAACATTATTTGGACGAGAGAATGCCTCGATCTATTGAAAAAAGTTTGCAATCTTTATACATACATTTTACAAGTCAAATGACACATAGAATGAAAGCTGAGAATTTAGTTTGGAAGATATAATTGTTCAAAAAATACAAAAGTTCACAAATTAATTATATTAATCAGATTTTTTTGCAAATGAAAATTTAGTCAATTTATGGACACTGAAATGCCGCGTAGCGGTGAGACAGTGGAACTAATTTCTATTATTGCTTGTAATTATGTTTTTTCGTCCTATTTTAAATAATAGGAATAATCTTTTGAAATTTTTTCGTAGGAAATTGTATAACCATGAGTTGTTTTATATTTTGGAATTTCTATTAATGGAATTTTGAAGCAAAATTTGGTTACATAATGCAGCAACGTATAGAATTATATGTGAAATAAAAATTTAAAGTTTATTTAAAGCACTTAGAAAAATTACTAATCATCTCTTATAAACCTAAAGCATCTTTTAAAAATTGTTTCGATTGTTTGTCAATCATATGGATTAAAATAAGTATTGTACAGATCTAATATCATATTCTGCTGAAACACGATTTCAAAATAGACTTACATTTACTTAATTAAAAGAGAGCTTTGATAGATTATTTTCTTATCAAGTACTTAAATACAGACGAAATGTTACGCGAAGCTAAAGAAAAATAGCATATATCTGAATAAAATTAGAAACACGACAATTAAATTAGAAAAATCATGCCATGTTTTCTAGTTGATTTTCGTTAATTGTATCATGTGCAAAATCATTTATTTTCTAAATACGTACAATAATCTGTGGTATAACTTCTTTTATATATATATATATATGCGTTTATATACAATATCTTACTCTCGACCTTAAGAACTCAGGCGCAAACACATAAAAATAACTAAGGCTCTTTCATTTTTTTCACATAGTTGCTCGATTACCAGCAACAATATTATAATATTACAGCAAGAACATGCCAATCAATTTTTATGTTATTTTTATATTTCGTTATGATCATTGTTCGGTCGCTGTATTTTTTTATCTAACTAATCGTTTCACTTATTTTTTTTCACTTTTCTAAGAAAAGGACCGATTAATGAATCGAGTGTACAGTGACAAAAAAAATCCCATTTACGCGAATACTGAATGATCTATCAGAAACGAGAGTTTTAGTTATTCACTTTTGTTTTAGAAATGTAAATTAAAGAAATATTAGAAATATTGTTTTATATTGCGTCCATCAGGCACATACATACATATTCTTGCTACCGGAGGAACTATTATTCTTAGTATTTTGTGTCTTTGTTTTGTTGCTTGTTGGACACCGTGAACACTCGACTCATCGATTCAAAGTAGCAAAAGAATATTATAATATTAATGGACAGCAAGTAAAGAACAACACGTAGCTTGTTGCTTTTGTCCTTTTACTTTTGTTTTATATTTCTAAGCTAAGGATGTTCGTCTGTACTTGCTGAATTATCGCTTCATTAGAATATTAGAAGTTGATATGAAAGGAGGAACTCTCTACCCATGGAATCTACTCCATTCGATAGATCCTCATTTATTATCACCGAGAAGTTTTAGTGTTTTTTTCGGTCTTAAGTGTACATAAAAAGAGCTATATAATTATATGTATGTGAAATTTTAAAGGAAAAGAATATACATATACAGCACTGAAATAATAAATGAATATTGTTTTAAAATATATGACCGATTTTTGTTTTAAGATCATGTATATTTAACATTTTTTATAATTGTTTGATTTGTTTGATAGACGTTCAATATACAATCGCAATTGTCACGTGTCCTCATAAAATTAACGAAGAAAATAAATATGAAATTACCACGAAAAAATGATGATAAATCGCTTTTATACAACGCTTTTGTATCTCTTGAAGTATGAAAGACGCTCATGAATCTCTTGATGCTTAAAAAAGAAAGTGAAAGCATCTTGCCATATCGAAAAATGCGATTAGATTGAAGATACATTTAATAAATATAGATTTAATTTATATAATAATGATGGTAACTAAAATAATATAATTTTCATTTCACACATAGGATTCTGAGAAGTTGAAATTGGACCAAGTATACATATATTATATTTATTAGTAAATATTTAAAAATTTCTCCATAGAATACTAATCACACTCAGATACAGCAATAACGCTAAACCTCGAACGTATTATTCCTTCCAGGAATGTAAGTTCGATTATTAGATAATTAGATTATTATAAGATGAAAAATCGTATCGGAAGATTTACTAAGTACAAAATGAAATGTTGTCTAGAAAATCTTTACAATCGATGAGGGAGACTTTCCTTCAAAGGACATTTCCTAGAAAAATTTGTTTAGTAATAGACTTTCATTGAATACTATCTTTTGCCACATGCTGACATCTTTGTAAAGAATGACATATCTTACACAATTATATAATCTGCCTATACAGCATAATAAAAAGTATCATTGTGTTGTGATAATCTTAATATAAATGTAAATTCAACAAAAACATTATTCGATTGATAAATTCCTTATTTTAAGGAGCCAAAAATCACAGGCAATGTAGTCTTTACACCGGTACCAATTTACCGATAGGAATTTCCAGAAGTGGCATTTTTACTGCCTATTTATTTTTTTCTTTAATTACGATGCTACCTATATCAGATACTATCATTTCTATTAATTAAACTATCTTCTTTGTCGACTGGAGGTGGACCGGTAGTTAATGTGGTACTAGGACCAGCCGTTAAATAACCAGCTGATACCGGCGTTCCAGCTGTATATTATAATTTATCTTTAAATATATTATGTACATTAAATATTTAATGGATGAAAATAATTGATATATATATCATACCAGTAAGGTAACCAGAATTAGTTGTATTAGAAATAAACAGATCATGTCGCTGATCTTTATATTCCGCCCAAACACTTGACTTCTCCAGTATTGCATTTACTTTCTCACCTAACAACAAGCTCCTGGTCATCGCTTTTAAAGCTTTGACTATTTGAGCTTTAGCAGTTGCAGGATTTTCAATTAAATCTAATCGTCCCTCTAATATATTTAGGAGATAAGGTACCATTTCAGCGTCCAGTGCCTATATAGAACAATTAACAACAAAAATTTTTAGATTTATAACACTGACAATAATAGTTAAAGTCTTATTTACCTGTTTTATGAGTCTGTCTTCGTTAGTTGAAAATAGTCTGTTCAATGTTTCGCATGCTATTGCTATCATATCTCGTCTAGATTGCATTGCATGTTTCAATGGACTTATACACTCTGTTTGACAAATAGATGATATACAAATCTGAAAGATAATTTGATAAATAATTTAATGTTATTGATATCAATAACATTAAATATTATTCAATATTTTATATAAAAAAAATTAAAAAACTTACTTCGCTTGCTGCTAATTGATGAAGTATTAATATCGCAGTTTTATATACAGATGGTTGATTATTTTGCATTGCCATTTGTCGACACAGCCTAGGTATGTGTCCTAATGATGGAACTTGATCTGCTAAACTCGGTTGTGCTTGAAGTAAACTTACTAATGCTTGTGTTGTTAATTCTAACATGTCCGGCTATTTAAGAGTATTTTAAATTAATCGATATATTCATGTACTAGAATAAATCAAAATGTATACTTACATCAGTTTTTTCTTTGGACATAAGGCCTAACGTCGTATCCATAAGTTCACTTAAAAATTCTTTAGGTTTCCTAAGGGCCCACGTGGGACTGGCTATAAATAATCTAAGGTATACACCTGCGACTGCGGGTTCGTTTGTTGCGACATCAATATTATTTTGAGTTTCAGGTAATTTTAATATTGCATTGGGATTTCGTCTTTGTAACATATAATATCTGAAAAAAATTTATTTCGTCATAAATGAAATTAAAAAAAAGAGATTAAAATTTTAAAAGCAAATTTCATACTCGTCTTTTAATTCTCCAACGATTCTTGACACTCTAGCTTTGGCATTATCATCCCAGATTAATTCAGGATTCTCATGTTTCGTTTCAAACATATGTACGCACTGTTTTGGAACATCCCTAATAGCTTCACTAAATAATCTGGGTAAAAATTTAGACAAATCTAATTTCACTTTTGGTCCAGCCAACTTATCAGATGACATTTTACCAAGCAGTTCTGCGGCTGCTTCGCGTATCTGAGTATTACTCGAATTACAAAACAAATCAAGAACGTATATAACAGCACCTAAAATTTTTATAAATTTCATTTTAAAAAGGTACGTATAATTTTGGTTGTTGTACACATATTTAGCTTTACCTTTAGATAGTGCATCTTTCACGATCTTCGTCGAACTCATTAGAGCGTACAAGGTTTCCAATATAAGTAACTGATATTCTTTCAAAGAATTTAAAACTAATAATAAATGTACTATAACTTCATTTGCCGCAATATCGTCTACACATTCTTGGTTCTTTGTAACATTACTAATAACTTCAAGAGCATTTTTCTGTATCAATTTGAAATTATTATAACTTAAAAGTGAAAATAATAATCTGAAGTGTCCTATACATTGTAATTCAATTCCTGGATTATTTTTAATCACATTTCTTAATGCTTCTAAAGACATAACAATATGTTCCAACTTCTCTTGATCCTTTTTAGCTGATGTTGCATTTCCAATTGACATCAAATATTTTGTTGATTCAGACAAAAAGTCAAGTAAATTAATTGTAAAACTTTTAGGATTCTGTAAAGTATTTGTTTACTCATTTAATTAAAAAAATGTTTTCTCTGAAAAAAATGTTACACAATATTAAATTACCTCTATAGGAAAATTGGGTTGTTCATTATATACTTTTACAAATATTTCTCCAATAATAAGTTCACCAGCATGGACGCTATATTTAAAGTCATTAAAATCATGCTCAAGATTATCATTGCCATTTAATCTTTCCTGTCGTTTAGCTTCCAAATATTCGTTTAATTCTGCTCTTGTCCCGTTATCCCAAATTAAATATGGATTTGAGCAATTCGAATTCAGGATTTTTAATATTTCTTCCGGTTTATCCTTCGACAGTTGACGAGATAGATAAGGCGTTAATAAACTTTCTAAAGCGGCAACAGTAACTGGATTAACAGGTGTTTCATTCTCTCCTATCATGTAACCACCCAATCTTGCACATGCTCGAACTGCTAGTTTTGCTAAATTATTTGCCACTTCTTGGCGATTCTCGTCTTGATTTCTTTCAACGCCACCTTCTTCCAATGTATAATCATAATTAAACATAAATAATAATAAATGCCATAAAGCACCAG